TACTGAACAAAAGGGGTAGCTGAGAGTTGAGGACTTCTCTTCTTTCTGAGCTACATAAAATAAATTATTCACTACATCGAATCATTTCGCTAATATATTTCATTCCTTCAATTTTACAGATATTGTTTGTCTGGGATTGAAACATAATCATCCAAATTGTAGTAATCATGAATCTCATCTTAAGGGATTGAATACGGATTCAGAATATCCTAAGGATATGATGCCATTATTACTACCACCGTCTGTATTATCTTCGTCGTCATCATCTTCCTCATCGTCAACAGAATCGACATCTGCAGAAACACAAATCTCATTAATTCGGATGGATCAGTCATGTGATTCAGGTAGGGTGATATACATATATATACTCTAGTTTGTTGTAAATTTTATGGTGGTGTGTACTACACCTACTTTATTGTTAAAATTTTGCCCAAATTGTTAGTTTCTCTATTGAATGAATGCACAGTATTTCAAATCACCTCGAAAGCAATTTGCTTACATAACTTGATGGTACTGAGGATTATTAAATCGTGGTTGTAAAATTTTGATATTCGGTATAAACCGTATTTTTTCATGATCATTTACATGTAATTTTATTCTTGCTGCTATGTGTCGATGATAACTGTCGATTAACACGTATTGTAATACTACGGTGTCTTGACAATTGCGCTTCGATATATTAAAAACAACTAACATTAGTAGTTCACAGTTTAGGATACCTCAAATTTTGTTGAAGATAAAGAATACACTAATACGTTTATAAAGCCGAATATATATATATATATATATATATATATATATATATATATATATATATATATATATATATATATATATATATATATATATATATATATATATATATGGTTTAAATAAATACGGAATAGCGTTAATATGGTATCTTTTGTGGTAAACAATCACTGGTTAAAAAATGGCTTCTCAGTTCAGGCTTGTAGTACAATTTGGCGGTAATAGTTTCTGTCCAGGTGGAAGAATAATTCTTGTACATATAGTTTCCCTTTTAAATATGATCATTCCAGTTGTTTGAAGAGCAATCCATCATTAATTTGCGCAAATAAGTACCAAAGTACATTTTTATGTAATTGACTTTAAGCCATGTTTTTTGTCTAATAAGGCTAATAATATTAACCAGCTACCATAAGAAGAGCTTTGATGTAATTTAAACCTACAGCCCAATGATTGGAGGCAAAATGGTGAAACTACTAAGTGTTTAATCCAATTAATAATCAAAACAGTTTCAAGATATCCTGGTTTTCTCTAAAGGGTTGGTTGTTATCATCTTATGTTCCAGATAGATTTTCTGGTTGTATTCGATTTAATTGACTTGCATTCGCTAAGCACTTGGGTACAAGCCACTCTCTAAGTGTGAAGGTTAATAATGCCACGTGGTTACTGAAACTGGATTAGATGAAGGGGTTTCGGACCTTGAGCTTAGCAACTGAAAGTCGAACGTCCTAACCACTAAACCACCACTCCATCATATTAAACAGCTCATTCGAGTAGGCGATAGCTAAAGATGTATGATATATATGTTTTCAGCTTTGACTTAATTTCTCACTCCTAACCTTAGTATGACCAAAATTTTATCCATTCACTTTTGGAAGTTTCATTAAGAAGTCTTTACGCCTGTAACTATTTAATTTTTATAATTTTACAAGTAATCCTATTCTGTTTGGCGCATCATTCATGAGTATTTGTATTTTCGATTTTAATTCTTTAGTTATATCATATGATCCAGTTATAAATAATTCTTCAACTCCGTTGCTTGCCAATCATGATACCTATGCAAAAACAAAACTGACTTACTGTTCACCTCAGTTTCTTCATAAAATACAACAAAAATTGCACATGAATTTAGTAAATCCTGTTTCATCTTTAACCAAATGGAAGAAATTGAGAAACAATAGAAATTTTAAATTATCTACTTATTTGGTTCCATCCACAGATTTTAATCATACAACACTACTACCACCACCAACAACAACTACTTCGACATCTGTAAGTAGTTCTGATGATGAAATGCATAGTTGTAATTTCATCTTATCTTCTAACAACCCTAGAAATGATAACCCTTTACAAAATTCTAATCTACATTTTAACCGATTTATTTCTATCAACGATCATTCTGTTACAATAAATAATGAGAAATCTTACCTATATAGTCGTCTTTCTTCTCCCTCTCCTCTACACCATCTTAAACCATGGGCAAATATTTCCTATTGGGAATCACATCATCATGTTGGACGTAGATGGTATCAAATTACAAATCGTAAATTAAATATTGTCTACAATGATGTTAATATTAATGATGATGACCATAATAATAGTGATGTAAAGGACAAACTGTATTCATCTCCGAAAAAAGCATGTATACATAAGGAAAATCATTCAAATTATAGAAGTAAATCTCAAAATGATTATATATATTTATCTTTACTAACTTTATATCAATCAAATCATGTAAAATATAATTGTAATAGAAGTATTAATGAACTCGAGAACTATTCGACCACTCCCTCTGTCGCTTGTCATACGAATAGGATTATTGGTAATAACAGTAGTATCATCAGATCATCTTTAAAACAATGCAAAAAGTGTTATAATTATGTGGATTCATTCAACAATGCATCTCTCATACCAAATTTAATTGTTCATTCATCAATGTATAAATCATCTTCTGGTTGGAAACAATGTTGTCGTCTAGGCAGCCAGGGAATTTCGCTTACACTTACCACTTATGGTTGTGTATGGTTAAGTAATCAAGCGATGGCTACAAACTTACCTATATTTGTATCATCACCTTGTTTGCAGTTTCATAATGCTAATTCTTCTTCCTCTTCTTCTTCATCGCTTAACAGTAGTACTGAAGACTTTCTAGTCGATAGACCCGTATATCGTGTACCAGCAGGTTATTCTCTATTAGTTTTCGACCTTTCATGTTATGAAAACTGGTTGCAACAACATTCTTCTTCATCATCTTCAGCGTCATCATCATCTTGTCGTCAATATTCTGGTAACAACCATAATGGCGACAGCAGTAATTTAAGTGATAATAACAATAATAGTAATAATGTAGATTTTAACGAGTTGCACAAAACTCATTTGTGGGCAAAAAACAACAATCTATGCAAAAATCCGATTATACATATAAGTTTAGGTAAAGGTTGGGGACCATCATATCGTCGACCAGATGTTACACATTGTCCAGCACGTTTAGAGGTGTGGATTAATTTAGAACATCTGTTTCCTTTATTCATTTCAAATAAATAAGAAATTGTAAAAATAATTTATTTTACCGATATCATTTTCATTATCTCTATCCTCTCTTTTTCACTTATTTTTCTTGTTATTATTATGATTTAATAGAAAAAATATATGTATATACATAACATGTGTAAATAATGAGAAACTGTTATAATACCACTTAAGTATTAGCATTTTGTTTGTTATTAGTTTCTATGCTACTTGATTAATATTAATTATTATGAGTAAAATGTTGTATTCAATAATTGCAAAAATGTTTTCAAAATATCTATACTGTGATATATGTATGTCTTTATTCTCTTCATTTTATCTGATATAATAAGAATGATTACGTTAGCATTTGTGAATGTGTACTTTTTTACATGATGATGATCTCATGTATATTCTTTGCATATATTATGCATTTTATTAAGTGATTAGTTTTTATAAAATTTCTGACCAGTAAAAGTGTTTCTCTCTTTTTTTTTTTAATTATTGGGAAATTTTGGTGGACGTATTTGAGAAGTGGTCAATGTAAAGGTTTACTATTGTAATATATAAAATTGTGTAATTCACTTACAACTTATTTTTGTGTGCTTTATTTTGACCATTATCGTAAAATTATGAACTGTTGAGGCTGATGATGAAAATATTGAAGACCTATGTTTTTGTATTTTTATACTTCTAATGAGGTTGTATGACTTGTTTTTAAGGTGCATTTTTGACTCATCTTCATTTCCAACCCATAAAAATACTGTCTTATTCAGCGGTTAGATCCTATATAGTAGTATCCATAGTTTTCTGAAACCACATACTGTGTTACATAATCAAACTATTATCACCAAACATTTTGTATTCGTGGAAAGTGTGATTCTATGCTTAAAAATGATGATATTCTGATCACTTCACGTCCATTGAAAACTGAGAAGTCACCAATTATTTTAGATTTCCTCAAGTAAGACGACTAATTTAAATAGTTCCCTGTAGATCGAAGTGTTTAGTCAATCTCTGTTTGTTTAGTTATCATAAGAGCATTCAATTTCTTTCTTATCTTAATAAATCATAAGACTGATCTAAGAAGACTGAATATAGTTTCTTTCAAATTTTATTCATTGACTTCAGATAATTCTTAGGTTCGTATGAAAGGACTCAGTTAACCGTATTACACTCAGCTTGATATGCTTGTTGTAATGTAGTGATACTTAAACGTACTGACAGAAAGATCTCATGTTTCTATGTCGATTAAGATAACAATCAATCCCAATTGTTATATACAAAACAAGAAGCAACTCGTAATTATGCACCTCGAGTTGTTTTCTCTTTCAAGCAGTTTGAAGATCTGTGAACATCATAAACTTTATTGTCGAGTAGACAAATGTATGACTCAAAGATTTTTAACTTTGAATATTTGTCGCACTTAAAATTAACAAAAAAATCTTTAATAAGGTCGACTTCAACGAAGAAGTCTAAACCATTTGGCACATATTACAACAGACTATGTGGATCCATATAATTCCATGATACAGTTGTCCCTAAACGTTTCACAACCAACTACTATGCTATCTAAAATCGCATCGACGAAAGCGGTAGTTACCCATGCCTGAAATGTGCCCTAACTACTTCAGTCAATCAAAATGCCATAAAAGTATTATAATATTTATAACACTGGTTTCCCTTAAAGCTTATCTGTTTGGAAATTAGTTAACTGAATAAATTTTTCAACGAGAAACAAAACGTCTATTATGAACAATTTATTTCTATATCAGTCATTTCTTTAATTTGATTCAGCATTGAATAACTTTGTAGGCATATAGTAAATCACATAAAATCCTCATCATTGTTATGTCTTGTCTTGGATTTTATATTATTCTTGTTGTAGAATCATTTTGTCTATGTTGTCTGCCTTATTCGATAGTCAACTGCAGCGGGAGTAGTAGCATAGTTTATTATTTCTTTCGGCTGTACACTATCATCATCAGTAGATATCAATCTGATTCGTGGATCATCTATTATGTTCATGTGTCTTTAAAAGAGAATAAAGAAACACGAAAAAAATATTAATGAGAAAATATTTCATTTTTTGCAGGTATACTAAATTAATTAGGGATAACCATGATCGTTAGACATTCACCGATTGTAACATAGGATTATATATTGGTTGGATTTTTATGTAGAAACAGAATATGGTTTGTAGTTACTGCGGTACAATGTATCTTATGTTAGATCATGGAATACTGAAGGAAATGAATTGAGGTAACACTTGCATCCCATATCAATTTTATGTGTCAAAATGTCATCGATAGAAAATTACAGTTCAATTAGTAATGTTGGTTTACACTACAATCTGTATGAGACGGCAAACATATTCGTGATCTATTAGAAATCTATTCCGAGTATTCACGAATAAATATCAGTTGATTTTTTTGGGTACAGTCTCAGACATCCTATAAAAGTGAAAATTTTGTGTAATTAATGGTGCGTATACTTCAAGTGTTAGATTTGCTGTGATGATAAGGGACAATAAAGACGCTACCATCAAACATTTTACATCAGGCTTGGACTTTATAGTAAGAGTAATGAACTCTTCCATGCGTTAAAACTTTGGTAACAAGATTCAATTACTAATTAAGTTGCTATAACACTTAAATGTAGAACATTATAATCAATAATCACTTAAACAGAAAACAAATATCCATTAAGGGTTAATATTATCAGATTTATAAAACTCACTTTAAATTTGATCGTCCATTTATAACAATTAATGAATTATCACCAGATATAACTTCACTATTAACTGATATACCATCTAAATATTGTTTCAATAATAATTTTAATTGAATGTTTTCTTGTTCTAACATATTGTATTCTTTAATTATTGCTAAACGATCTAATTGAACTTTATTAAATCTTTTCCAAAACATTTCAAGTGGAAGGCATCGTTTTAATATCTGAAATTTTCAAAAAGCAAAACAGAATATTATTATAAATTAATTTATTAGCTAAAAATAATTAAAAACTTTCACACAGAAATAATTGCTCATCTAAACTGGTTGTTCTTCGTTGACATATGTGAGCTTTTTGAAAAGAAAACATGTGAGATGAAGGTGAAGATCTTCTAATTTACGATGATGATTTTGTTGAAGCTACGTATTTTCGACCTGGTTGGTTTAATAGCTATTAATTTGATCGATAACACACTTGATGATATAAAATTCATCTTTAAAAAGAAAGCAAACAACTGACTAGTCTTCTTAGATGTGTTGATCACTAGAATCAATACAGGAAAACCAGAGACTCTTGTGTATCATAAACCAACTTATGCTGCACGAATTCTGAGTTGATCAAAAACTAACAAAACAACTGCATACAAACTTGCTATTCGGAAGAGCGAAGATATAGCAGTATAACTACCACGCAAAGAATGAGGAACAAAATCAAACAATCTTTTCGACGGGACAGCTACTATGTTTATCGACTCCATCAATAAGTACAAAATCGAATATTGAAACTAAAAAACGAATTATCCTACCACATATGTAGGGAATAAAGGAAGTCACAATTGCATTGGAAACAGGCGTTGGTCATAAGCCAGTAGGAGCACTTCAATTTTATGCAAACCAAAAGATGAAACTATAAAAGACCAGCCGAATATCATTCACAAAATAAACTGCTATATATATATTAAAACCGAAATGTAAGAAAACTGATAAAACAAAGGAAATATTAAAAACACATCACCTTCGTCATTTCTTCATTTTGTTCTTTTTCGAACGATTCTTGCACAATACTTTCTTCTTCCGCTGATAAAGATGATGAATAGAATGGTGTAACTTTTTCCTCTTCTGTCTCATACTTTCTGCACTGTTCACCTAACTTAATAATCTTCTCTGCTTTTTCCAATAAACATTGAACCTGTATTTAAATTTTTTTTAAAAATTACATAAATTTATTTACAGTATAAACGTTTAAGACCAAATAAAAGCTGAATATGTAACTACATTGATTTCACTAAGCTTTCATTTTTAAGTTTCATAGTAGCTTATTCCCTCTTTGAGATGCTAACTGTGATTGAATCCATCCTCTTATTAGAATAAGCTAGGTAGTCATTTACTTCGAAATGTCTTGAATTCTAGTTAGCACTGATAAATGAGAATTTTAAAAAATCTACTATTCATGACTAAGTAGTTTTATAAGAAATACTAACAATTAGTATTTTTCATAGTTACCTTTTTTATAGCATCCCCACTTTCAACTGACATTTTAACCAATTTTTCATGTTGTAGATCACGTAATTTATTGATTTGTATCTTCAAGACTTGAAATCGAACAACTAACTTATCACGTTCTTCTTTTAAGTTGCGATTTTTTTCTTCATATTCCTTAGATGTTTTTAACATACGACGTCTAGTAGCCGATATATTATCATTGATTTTTTGGATTTTGTTTAAGTGTAATTGAATTTCAGCAGCTGAACGTTCATCTTTTGCTTTTAAGTTTTCGAAAGATGTCTTTTTTTCATTGGTAGTTGTTGTGTATTGAGTGGAAGCCTGTTTGAATTCAGACCACAAACTATTGACCTTATTCTCCAAATTTATTCTCAATGTATGTTTTTCTTCCAAACTCTATATGAAAAATATATGCGAATCATTGTTTACTACATATAACAAATTTAAGTAACATACATCAGAAGATTTATATTAAAATCCACACAAATTAGCATCACAGGGTTTGAAGTCAACCGTATCGGCAGTGAAGTGATACCTTGACAGTAAAATTAATTGGGCATAACACTGTCGAAATTCACAGAAGTTGAATATCTAAACCAATGAATTCTAACTCAGGTGTATAAATAAAATTCTCTCTGTGAAGCTGGAAGGTCCTAGGATCGATTCCATGTAGCACCATTTGGTTCACATTGATCAAGAGTTCTAAGTTACAAGAAATATATTCAATAACCCTATAACTGATATCAGCTCATGATAAATATTATCCTCAAATAAAAAATTGATGAACACTATGATTAAAAACCAAACGATGAATAATATATGAGTAAACATTATATATGTGCATAAAATTTAAAGGCGGAGAACGTAATAAATGAGGATCTGGAGTCTATTTTTGACAATACAACTAACAGTCTTCAACCTTTACTTTTGACGTCAGGATGAAAGTAAGCCTTCACTTTCATGCTTAGCTCACATCAACAGTTAGTGGCCTGGTGGCCTCCCATTTCACATTAATTAATCTTCACTTGTTTAGCTTAATGTAAATCTCTTTGGCTTACGCTAATTATCTTAAAGTGGGATACGGTGATAAAACAATGTTACATACTACTTATGTCTGTCGACATAAGCAGCATACGTCACAGTATCATATCTCTCAATCAATTTAATGATCACCGTTGCATATGATTTTATCAGCCGATTCATCTTTATCTAAATCTTTCTGGGTAACTTTATCACTACTCACTCGATGATTACACTACAAACGCTTAACTTGGTTATTGTTGTAATATCGTCTATACTTAATCAACTAAAGTCAGTTAATTATAGTTAATGTTACAGAGCTTTGTAAAAGTAATGTCCTAGTTATGCATGAATAAAGATTTTTAAAGGCTGAATGTTATACCTTGGTATTGTACTCATACAACCAGAAATCTGGATGGTAACGATAAATGTTATCACTCATCTAACCTTCTGTTGTTTGATTTTAAGCGTGAGAGTAGGGGGATTTTTAAAACTAATCAAAACATACATTACCTAAAAGTTCATGTCAGTTTAAATCGGATATAACCATATTAGTTAACTGTACTGGGATGAAAAATTGTGGGTTCTAGCTCAAGTGAATTGTATTTTTACTTTAATGTCTTAGTAACATGAGTGATATCTAAAGTCCAAAATTCAAAGTCAATAAAATTCATGGAAATATCAATCGACTTACTTTATTCTTCAGATCATCCTTCAAACTAGTTTGATCAATTACAGCTTCATGTGCTTTGGCAGTATATGTAGAATCCAGTGCAACAAATATATCTTTTAAGTCATTGACTTGTCTATCGTGTTGTTGCTTAGTAAAGTTTTCTTCTGATTAACCGAAAAGTATGTTATTTGAACAGTTTTAAATACAGAAGATATATATATATGTACGATCTACCTTTTAAGAATTCTTCTACCAAAGAGCGCAATTCCTTTTCATAATTAGTTTTTAATTTATGTAATCTTTGATTTTGTAAATCTAATTTTCATAAGAAAGATGAAGTGAGAAAATTTATTACATCTAACAAATAGGACAAAATTATTTTATTAACTCTTGTTCAAGTACCACTATAGTTACGTTATGATGATCATCAACTCCTCATCTCATATTGATTGAAATAAAGCATGTTAAATTCCACCTTATTAAACTGTTTTATATAAGACAGCTACAAAATCGAATCAATCATTAGTATTTTCCTAACCATTAATTACTCAATGAAAAAGACTTAATTGGATGACTGATTTTGAAAGGGAATGAATACAGATTCATTATAGAAGTATGTGCTAGTGAATTTTATAAAATGAATGTTGGAGAATGTTGCGAATATCCAGAATGTACTTACATTTCGTGCTGAAGAAGAAAACAGTGCTGACATTATACGTCACCTAACTTTAAGTATTTCTATTGATGAACGATGTTGCGAAGTCAGTCCAACCTATTGTAAAGCCTTGCACATGTGTACATCGTTGTGGAGCTTCAAACCATCAATTACGATAGAAGTTTCCTACATGTTTTGATCCAATATTATAATATTTGAGAAGACTTTGACCAAAGTACTGAACTACTGACTTACGCATTTTACCACTCATGGAGAAGCATAGGCTACTCCCAAACATTTTCCATCTAACTCTGTCCAGAGCATTCCTTTCCGGTTTTTTCCAGTTGCTATCCATCCTTTTCATATCTGCCTCCAATTCTTGACGCAGTGTGCTTTTTGTACTTCCTCTTTTTCGTTTTCCTTTAGGATTCCAAGTTAGCGCTTACTTCGTGATGCACTTTGATGATTTCCTCAATATGTGGCCTATACACCGCCAACGTCTTTTTCTAATTTGCTCCTCAGCTAGAAGTTGGTTTGTTCTCTCCCATAGTAAGCTGTTACTGATGGTATCCGGCCAACGGACATTCAGAATATAACGTAGAAAGTTGTTTATAAATACTTATACCTTTTTGATGATAGTTGTTGTGATTCTCCAAGTTTCAGCTCCGTACAGTAGATTTATCTTGACTTTCGCATTGAAGATTCTGACCTTGATATTGATTGACAGTTGTTTTGAGTTCCATATATTCTTCAACTATATGAATGAGGTTCTTGCTTTGCCAATCCTCACCTCTACGTCAGCATCAGATCCCCCTTGTCCATCGATGATACTACCCAGGTACGTGAAAGTTTCCACCTCTTCCAGAGTTTCTCCATCAAGTGTGATTGGGTTGGTGTTCTCTGTCTTGTATTTCAGGATCTTGCTCTTTACCTTGTGTATGTTGAGGCCTACTGATGCAGAGGCTGCTGCGATATTAGTTGTTTTCATCTGCGTTTGTTGATGTGTATGGGATAGAAGGGCCAGGTCATCCGCAAAATTCAAATATTCTGATTGATTTCGAGCTGTCTATTATATTCCGTGCTTCCTCTCAGACGTCAAAGTCTTCATAATCCAATCGACCATTAGAAGAAAGAGGAAGGGGAGGGTAAACAGTCTTGTTTGACTCTGGTCCTTACTTGGAAAGCATCTGTCAGCTGTCTTCCATACACAACTTTGCACTGTAATCCACCAGATGAATTCCAGATGATGTTGACGTTTTTCTTTAAATGATAGTAAATGCTAATATAACTTGTCGATTTAAAGAGGAGAACACTGCCTTAAGGCCGAGAAACACAACTAAGGATGGAAGTTGTTAGGTATGTCTGTGTTCCACAATCTTGTAAAGAGTAAATATTTAGTCTACACATCCAAGTCCAGTATTAAAACCAACATGATTTAATCAAGTTCGCTCTTCACGAGCCTAGTTAAGCGTTGGTGAATCACAGTGTTTTAGGCACTATATTAGTCAAACTGATTTCTTGGTGGCTGCCATAAGAAGATTTTTGTCTTTTGTGTAAGACTGGAACTATCAGTAATCGAGACCACTTAGCAAATACGACCTTTTTCTAATCAATTTACCTATATTCATAAAATGTCTTTGGGTTCGTATTTCTTTAGAAGTACTTTCAACCTATGTTAAATATAGAGGGTATTAATGTAAGGTTGACATTCGTTGGAAAATCGATAATTTCTGGATAGTGGATTGAAATATTGCTAAATATCAAAATGAAAAGAATCCAGTGAGTATCTTGCTGTGAATTTATTTTGTGTTTTAACAAGAAATACTCATATTTGGAAAAATATTTCCAACAAAGTGTTCTTACGTGAACTATCAGTCAGTCAACTACAACGTAGGACCAGGCACATATGTGCATCGGTCCAAGTTGCCATACCGTATTAGCACACCAAGATGAACACCAGATTCATAGGAGTAGTTAGGTCAATGGTGGTAATATATAAAAGAAAGATTGCATATTTGGATATAGTACAGGAAGAAGGGTCTAGTACATAGAAAGATATGAAGCGATTCTAATCTCACGGTTTAAGGGTAGCCAAATAGTGTATACACCTACGCCATTGTGATCGATTCTGAGCCATGTCACCAAGAGTTTCCAGCCATTGGTTACGAGAGTCACGCGGACCCCAACCAAGTAGTCTGCATCTACTGACATGGCTCAGACTAGAAGTTAATGACTTTATGAACTGATTCCACGTTTTTATTTTTTCGCCCCCAACCCTCCAACCATCGCCCACACCGGTTAGCATCGCACGTCATGGTAATCAATGTTCACTCATACACAACACGTGGCCTACCCATCTCAGTCAGTGAAGATTCACAACCTCATCAACTGACTTACCATCATTCCCTAATACGCTGCATCTAACCTCACTATTACTTACCCACTAATCCCAGCAGGTGCGAGCAATATTTCTACGACATCTGTAATCAAATACTAGTAGTTTACGAGTATTCTCTACCCTCAATGGCCACGTTTCGCAGCCGTGAAGTAGAACAGAACGAACTGTCTCACAGTATACTCGTCCCTTAATTGATAAACGGGTATCTCGCCTTAACCATAGGTGACGTAAGTTGGAAAGAGCTAAACGAGATTATTGAATCCGTGCTGAGATTTTGTCAGACACCGACCCATTAGTGTTGAACAGACCTCCAAGTGAAGTTGTCGACGCGTTCGACTACTTCACTCCCTATCATTAGTTCAGATGTTGACGCAGGCCAGTTCTGAAGCAACAACTTGCATTTACAGGGAGTGAAGCGCATTCCAAATATTCTGGCATTGTTGCTTAGTGATACCAAAAGACTCTGCATTTTATCAGCGTCTTCACCAAACAAGACTATGTCCTCTGCGTATTTTAAGTCGATAAGCGGACCTCATGGGAGATCTGTTATATTCGTTCGTCGTTGATTGCTGTGCCGGAAAAACGCTGATCACTTATACTCGGAATGAGGGACCTTGGCAATTTCCACGATGCGAAGGTAAGAACACAAGACTGGTATAAGTGAAGATTTATTAGCCCCAAAAATCTATGACGACGACGAATCAATATAGTCTAAAATACACTGGTTTACATATTGACTGTACACCCATTTTGATTAATAATTAGGATCAAATCACATACTCAGTTATAACAAATTACTTACTGAGCATAGTTCATGTCAATTGAATACAAGAATATCGTATATTATACAGAAGAAAATATCATACTGGGAAAGCAAATCAAATGCTACACTGAATGACCATCACATTGAATTAGAGGGGAAGTAATGCTGAACAAAACTCATAATGAGTAAGTCAATCAAAAATTGACTCTTCTTTCTATCATATCAAGATCAATGCCCGATAATTCAGTCGACGTGAACGATATTTCCATCAGTAGGTCTATGATGAGGTTAAACAAAAAACAGAGGTAGTGAACAGCCTTCACGGACACCATTTGAGGTTGCAAAAGCAGATAACAGTTCACCATAAGCTCTGACTCAACTGGTAGTGTTCGAGTAAAGAGCCTTTGCAAGGTTTATGTACTTCTTACGTGAACTATGACCAACAATGGTTTTTTCATTTTTGTTATTAGTTTATGAATTCCTCTCTACGATTCCTTCACAATACTTTCATTTAGTTTTGTTATACAGACAAGGTGTTTTTCAGTTTCAGTCGTCAAATGTGCATGATTATGAATTTTTATTACCACAGACCGTAATTTTTAGTGGCTACCTTGTGATTTGTTTGTAACTTGTATGGTATCAAAAACGTCTGAAATTTTACTGATAACCAGTAAAACTTCGAACTGTCACAAATGAACTTCAACCAAATGACAACCATTAATTGTAATAGTATAACCAACAAAACGTTACAGTTTAGCGTAATACCCCTTTATTTGCCTGCATATAAATACAGTATTTTTGGACATAAATATCTCTCTAGCAATGACAAATCATGTGCAAAGCTGATTTTATAGCTTAATTCTTCATCCATACCACAAACAGTATAGTGATGACTGACTATTATGAGCGAAATGGATATTCAAGTGGTTGACGATAATGAATTACTCATGATAATGATAAACATCACTGATGAACAACAATGTCTTTAGCTACTCATTACATAATCCAAATAGTGTTGGTCAAATATATCACATAGTGACAATGATAGTAAATATGATTTAATGCAACTATATCGCAATATTGATATCTCATCGGATAGTCAATTGTTACATGTATAGTTATTACGCAAAGAAATTCAGTTAAAAAGTTGACTGATTGAACTATATTGTATGGTTAAATTTTACATAAATAAAGAAACTGTCGAATATTTATTCAAAAGTTTCTACGATTTCCTTTATTAATCTGCTTAGTAAGATTCTATAGAATACGATCCTCACAACAGAGTAGTTAGTAGAATTAATTAATATACTAGCGAGTCCCATAAGTAGTAATGCACTGCATCGTAAATTGACAGACGTTTCTTGCTAACAGGTTAAATTGATTTAAATGCCACAAATATGTTCTTTTTACTTTTCATTTATACGTGAGATTATTAATATTGCAACCTGGAAAGCTTTATTACTACGAGTCAAATATTTTCGAGTAGTATTCATATCTTTCACCTAAGACCATCTAATCGACCGATGCAAGCAACAAATTTAGGGGCAAAAACACTGTTGGGATGTGATATACAGGTCATGATGAAATAGTCAACCAGTATAAATTCTTTAGGTCAAACAAAAAATGCTATCTACCTATCAAAATATCTACATTCTGTAGATGAGAACGCAGAGCCATCAAATGCTGTTCGTCTGCCTCACTAAGATCCGCAACAAGTGTTTTGATGATACTTTCTTTTCTTTGAAAAATATTGAACAAACAAACTGATAAAAAATTTAAGACATTGATGCTTTACCGGTCCATGATTCTTTCAAATGTTTGTGATAATATTTCTATAGTTCTTTTCAATTCTTTTGACTTCGTCTCTCTCATTATAGTTCGCCAATAATGTGTCAGTTTTGCTTGATTAAGTTTAGTAAACTTTTCTTCATGGATAAGTTTATCCTATATTAACAGTCGTTAGTTTTCAAATTGAAGGGAATTAGATTAAAAACTGACTTGTAGATATTGAGTTAACAGTGCCATCTTTTTTGTTTTTAGTTCTTCTTCAGCAACTCTTTGTTGTTCAAGGAAAATTGCTCTTTCTTCATCAGTCATTTTTGTTAGTTTCCCGGTTTTCTTTTTTCTTTTTGGTGCCATTTTTGGCTGTTTTTCTATTGACTTATAGTCAGTAGGAGAATGCTAAACTTGTATATTGTACTAAAATCTGCAATCTATCGAATGAATAAGGCACAGATTATAGCATAGAAGGCAGTAAAACATACGAATTGTAATGACATCAATATCTCAAATATGTATAGTGAATTAATGGGTTTCTAAACGTTTCCGGAGACGTAAGAATAATATTTACTGTAAACATGCTGACTAGGTTGTTACAAATATGAATTAAGTGATAAAAAATGAAAACGTTACTGATCATTACTTAATTCGAACAAAAAAGGTTTTCTAACGATCTAACATGCTGACTTAATTACGTCGGTAAACCAATTGTATACTACATATATTAATAAACAACATAAATGTATTTGCTTCAGCGGTCATATTATTCAACATCGGGATATATGAATTACGCTTATCAAGAAAAGCAGAACTCCGGAGTCTGATGTTACCGATGTTACTCATTACAGCAATTAATGATAAGGGCCAATATTTCGTTTGACTGACTGAAGCTTTTCACTAGCTTACTTCTATGTTGTCCGACATTGTGCAAAAAGGTAGATAGTGGTTTGTTGTATTTAACGAGTGACTAAAGGACTCAATCAGATGAAAGGTAACCAAAATTTTGATATATGAGAAAGGGTCGACAAAGCAGACAAGATGTAGTATATAGTCCGAAAATACTAAAATCACAAAAAAGACTTATAAAAGGAGGTATCCTCTTTGTTCTGCTTTTACAACAAGAAATTTCCAATATTTACCTTTCTAGCATAATGTCTAGTTTGCTTTCACACCTTTCAGTATGTATATCAATGTTCGATTTTTGTTTTCATTTACGGAGTTAGCGATTATTTAGTAAACTGTATTGTGTTTACTTCGTTTTGGTTTAACTAAAAAAGTGCCTTCTAAAATTATCATGACGAAAAATGCAAGTATTCTTAATGGTTTCACAGACATAGACTAGTAATATAGAAATAATAGTGCTCAAGCTAACTTTTAAACTAAATAGTGTGTAGTGTGGTCCGAAGATATTTTCTTTCAAATGAAAATACTGTCCATATTTGGTTTTGAGTCTATTTATTGATAATCTAGTTTTCTGCGTACTTGTCAATCATGAGTAAAATCTTATTATAGAGTAGACAAGCAAATGAAAAAACAAACTGACCTTTAAGTCATACATGCAGAGTAGGCAAGATAGTTAAATTACTGTGTATTTTCCTAGATCATTTACCTGAATGCTGTTTAGAAAGACGATAAGAGCTTTTCAGTCAAACCATCCAGTTTAGAAAATAAAATTCCGTTAAAATCATCCATTTGAACCATAGTTCTACGCTATGATTTAATTTAGTTATTTATTTTTATAACTGTTGCTGGAGTTTTGTATTCAAATATACAACCACGTTCATGATTCTTCATACGAACAGGTGAATCTAAGCAACACAACTAAATGTATAACCAATGTTTGAAAATGAGAAAAATCTTCTAATCACTTTGGTATATTGTCCTAAATAAATAACGAATTATTAATAGCAAGTGTATAGGCAATTTCTTAACAGCCAGAAGGAAAAGACAATAGATCTTGTTAAGTTGTAACTGTCCAGTAATTTTTGGTTGTTTATTTATGTTCTCTACTAAGAACCACAGTTAGTAAAGCCAGGTAACTTCATATCTCAACTCGTTATTTTGGTTCTATATAGATAAAAGTAATTGGTAGATATTTTTCTTTAATTTGTAAATTATTTAGTATTAGTCGTCAGCTTTTATGAACTAAGTATGCGGCTTCATAGACGAGTTAAATACTAATTTCAGCTAAATATCTGCACCTGGCGAAGGCCCTGCTCAAGTGTTTATTAAATCGTTTTTTATTTTTGTTGTCAGAAAATGAGTACACACAGACTGTGTGGTTTCTTGAAATCTACAACCATATAGCGTTGTAGAATACTATCAATCATATATATATATATATATATATATATATATATGGCTGATGGTAGAAAAATCATACAATTATCTAGTCGTCTACATATCCTGAGGTATTATTGTCAAAGATGGCTGACGATAATAACAAAACGCAAAGAAAGAAGCAGCCAGCATGTCAATGTAAATGTAGTCCCAAATGTTACATTTCAGGGACTAACAACCTGTCTGGCCAAATGTGTTCATATTGTCTGATCCTAATAAATTTTCGGCCAGTTATCTTAATTTTTAGTAAACGAATAAGTTCTGTTATATTATTACTTCACAAACTAAAATGTTTGTCAAAACTACCCGAACTCTCAATTTTGGGGGAAATTTGGCACATTTTGGGGAAGCCGCTTTAGTAAATTTTATGGAAATGGCACAAAACCCTCAAAATTTCCCCAGACGTCGAGAAATCCCAAGAATTCTTCTTTGACCTTGTTTAATGTCATTTGACTTTGGGGATTTCCCTAAAATTCCCACAGAATTCTCAAAAATTTCCTCAAAATTGGAAGCTCAAGTAGGTTTTTTGGTCAAAATAATTCCGAGATCCTTTTGTCACGCCCTGAATCGTTTTAACAAGACGAAAACCAAGCACTAACTTCTGACTCATCCCGTATGACTAGTTCTCAAACTTTATTAACTTATTGATGGTCGTATAACATGCCATTATTAATCCGCGATATAAAACATTGTAGATAAGATTCATCCTTGTAAACAAACTTATCACGCAAACGTCGATTGAATGATATCAGATGTCAAAATAACCATAAATTTATTGAGTTTTTGAGTCATGTGAGCAGAAATTACATGTAAACTCGTATTTCTAAACAAGCAAACAGCTTGTACTAGGTATCTAGGACTTTTAAGGTAGATAAACAAAAGCTAATTCAATATCCAATATCTATGTTCTGAGCTTGTGGGTGACAATACAGTCACTCGATTGAATTAATTCTATTCAGTGTGGTAGTTATTGTTGGTATATTATATTTTGTAGTTGAGTCACCACGTTTGTCTCAGAGCATCAATGTTTCTGATTACCAACGAATATCAAACTATCGGACAGGAAGTTGGTTGGTTGTAATGTGAAAATAATGTGAGAATTCAAGTGCTATGGAGATATAATTTTAATTAAGGATAGATAAATAATTTACCTAACTGATAATTTGTCAGAGGACGAAACTTGAAGAATAAAACAAAAATGAAGATAATGATTAGAGAGATAAGAAGTAGTTACTGATGTGTTATAATGATAACCATGGTAACTTTTGTGATATGTATCAGACAAAGTTCTTCTAAGCGTGGGATGGTGACCCATGGGTGATTAATTGTTTGTCAAGTCTCCATCCACTGAGGAGGATGTGATCACTTTGACTGAGAGACCGTTTCGAATGCAGGCAACTTATAATGGAAAAACGTAAGAGCATACTTTGGTGCTCACCACTTGCCTCGCGGAGATCAGTGATGATCTGGTAACATGTTCGTATTTAGGCGATTCGGTATACTTAATATGTTGTGTTTCATTAGCAGATCACCTCTTGATACCCTGCAGCTCAGAGATTATAATCGTAGGTGCTGTAGTTTGTTCTTGGAAGATCTGTGTTTTAGTCTTATTACCTACTTGGTTATCCATCTTTGTACTTGGTCTAGGAGATTTCTATCTATTTTGAAGAGTGGAGGCATAATGACATTGTAAACCTAAAGAAGAGGCAGAAAGTTTGTTCTAGACGGCGTTAGGAAAACGTCTGAAGTTGTCTACAAATAAAGCAGGGGCGTTGAATTTACCATCGTGTTTGAACTGGTGTCTAGGCTTTCTTTTGTTACAAGCTTCGGGATCACGCATAATGTTCATGTTATTTATTTATCGTAATCGAGCTGATATAAAATAAAACTAATAGCTCGACGAAAAGCCTCAGCATTCAATTCTCCACATATGTGGATACGAGCTGATCATGACAGAACTTAACTTGTTCCAAATCCAAAACAACTAAAGGATTGTATCTCTGCAGTAAACTAGGAGGAAAATAATAAAGATTAATAGACAAATACGTTTCAATACGGTTAGAAGTAGATATATCTAAGAACACTAAACCGAATACCGAGTGAAACGGTAGCTTCTCTAGTGGGTTGTTTCTAGGATCTTCTTCGATGCTTGATTGAATATATTCATTCGGTATTATCTATTAAACTGTACAAGGTCAAAATCAGTTTTCGAACAATAGAGGGTTATCCTAGGGAGCTACTTATCACTATACAAGAAACTATGTCTTATTTCAGTTGTCTAACAAATTATTACAAGCTCGTGCTTTGATGCACTTCCATTAAACGCCTACAGTTATGAAACAACTTAACATTTTTAAAATATTGGCATCTGTTTCATCTTTATAGATAGATCATTATTCGGATTTGTGTGTAATTAATTTGTGAAAGATAACTGCCACCCTTTGCTAGAAATTGTGAATGGTGGTTACAACCTTCAACGTCTTTTATTTGCTTTAGTCTCATCAGTGAAAAGATAACTTTACGGGTAATGCGAAAGTAATATAATGATAAACTAATTGCAGTGTTGTTCATTAGTTGATGATGATTGGGTAATTTATTCAATACTGTAGTATTTGGATGAACGAATGATATTCTCACTACACTTAACCCCATCAAGCGCGCTAAACGTTTGATTTTCTTTGTAGGCAAACAAAAAATGACGGATCGCTACAACCTTATTACTGACATGAAATTTAACTCGTGTCCCATATCCAATAACGTTCATTACCATCCACCAGTATTGCACTAGTGCGCGAACTGTGCTTCGATCTTATAGCAGCAGTCTTTTTGAAATGAAAAAGCACATCTGTGTTCCAACTAACTAAAATGTTGTAACGGGAAATAAACTATTAGTTCAACTACACTTTTATCATGATGTAGCCTGTCTGTGGAGTTTAGTAGAAGAATTGATGCTGAAACTTTGTTGTCGATAAGCTAAAAATTACTACAATAACTTCAATCGTTTGTTATCCCGAAAGCAAAACATCGTCACATTGATATCAAACGACAGTTACAGCACTTAGAACAAGTGTTATCACCGAAAGACCAGATCAACAGAAAGTCTACAACGATAAATTGTTAGTGAATAAGTGCCTTGATTTTGTTCAAATACAACAAACATGATTTCACGATATAAAGTTGCTCAACTACGATGATATTTTAGGTGCCAAAATAATAGATTTCAGCCTGACAATTAGCAAATATTTTGACTGTTATATTTTTGAGAGGTCACTTGATATTGGAAATGTTCCATGAGCTTTCGTCTTCGCTCTTTGGCTGTGGATATAACTGTCCCAATTCCTGATCCATTGCCACTACATATACTATATCCGGGTGCGCGTCTCGACGAACGAAAACGTGTGTACTATATCGTAAGTCAGGTTGAATGAAAACATCGGTGAATTGTGGTAGAGTGGAAGCAAGTTTAACTGAACGCATTGCGTTTGTAAGCATGTTCGTGTAGGAGGTTAGATCCATGCTCAATGAAGAGGATGAAGGATCCACGAATTTTCCTGGAAGTCGAAGTGTCGTTCCATAAATGAGTTGAGCCGCAGTGTATCCAATGTCAGCTTTCACTGCTTTTCGAATACCTAGTAAGACGAGTGAAAGAGCGTCGGTCCACTAAGAAACGTTTGCATCTGATAGTGAAGCTTTTAGTTGACGGTGAAAACATTCTACCAACGCGCTTGCTTGTGGGTGGTAATCGGTCGTTCGGAAACGAGTAATTCCTAAAAGTGTGGTCAGACCACGGAAAAGTTCAGACTCAAACTGACGTCGGCGGTCTGTAGTGATGGTTGAAGCTAAGCCGAAGTTAGCTACCCATCGTTCGACGAAGGTGTGGGCCACTGTTTCAACAGTGATATCCATGATAGGTACTGCTTCTGGCCATCGAGTGAAACGGTCTACGTAGGTTAAGAGGTAAGAGTATCCATTTGAATCTGGTAAAGGTCATACCAAATCCAGATGAACATGGTGGAAACGAACATCGGCAGTGTTAAATGAGCCTAAGGGACATTTATTAATAATAATAATAATTTATTCTCAAATAACAGATTGTTACATGAGGCATGCCAGTTTACAGGCAAGATCAAATTGATACAAATGATACAATATACACTGTAATAAATTACATAGCTGAGTTGTTAATTTATAAGATATGAATGTAGATGGTTTTAATCAGTACCACAGTTGGCGCGCTTCATGGAAGTTGCGTTGCGAATGTGCGACTGATGGTCAAGGATGGGTCCATTGAAGGTATGAGCTTTTAGAAATCGCAACCTTATTTCCTTCTGGGATATCCAAGGCTTTAAGGATGGTGCAGGATGAAGTCACCAGTTCCATATCTCAAGGGGGCTGAAAGAGGGAGCAAGTAAAAGAAAACACGAGAGGCAGAGTAGCCAATATTCATGAAGGAATGTTTAAGGTATGATTACTCAGTCTAATTTTCTTTTATTAAGGTATTTGTTAAGAAAGAGCATTTTAATAGGTTAAAGAAAATAAGTGTTGACAAGGTGTGAGTGGACATACAACTGACAAATGGGGACGATTCGGAAAAGAGCTGAGAGTATAGAATTATGTGTGATTATAAAGCAAAATATAGTGCTAGAAACAGTATTGTGATATACAGTTGGCCATCTTCAGTTTTCATCGAAGCTATTAGATCCCCTTTCATATTTTTTGTACTAATTTTTTTCAGGTATCATAGGGTCTTGAGTAGGCTTCGTATATTAGCGAATTGTCTAGTTTGCTTGTAATAGGATTTCTGGGTAGGAAATGAAATCAATTCAACATTCGTAACACGATTTAGTGAGGTATTTTGCATGATAAATCAGCACTAAAACCTTAAGTTTGTGACTTATCACTAAACCATGAGGAGCCGTAATTAAACAAAATGTTCTGCCCTACAGACATGGGTGGATTAAAGTTATCTCCCCACCATCATATTTGCTGATCAGTAACGCCACCCTCCCTCCTTTTGTGATGTTAGGCTCTCTTACGTTTGTGGTAAGTATGAATACTGCTTTAATCAAAGCCCATAGTTGGAATACACTGTCTCTACTAGGTCCATGTTACAAGCAAATCAGATAGTTAAAAAAATTTGTTAGATGTCCACATAGTATATCACACTGCTATGAAAATAACTAATGGTTTAAAGAAGTAAGGACTAATAGCAAATCAAAAGATATGAGGGGGTATAAAATCGTAGAAAAAAAGATTTCAGGGTAAGACAAATAAAACATTGAGAAACTCACAAGACGTTGTGGCCAAATTTTGAACTTTGAATGGTCGGCCTTAGTAGATCAGCATCCATAAGATTGAGCTATCTGTCTACTTGCAGTAGAAAAAAAGGCATGACTTTTAGGAAGAATGATGTACATTTAACCTGTAGAGATTTGGGAACTGAAAGCTAGGGTTAGGAACATAAAGTCATGACCTTAGATTTTTTGCAACTTACACAGGAGCGTGCCCACTCTCTCACGTCTTTATTTATGCCAGGCCAGGAAAACCGTTCTGCTGTGAGCTTGATGGGTGCACGGACACCTGGATGAGAAAGTTTGTGCAATGTGTTGAAGACGTTGCGTCGATAATGTTTCGGCACGATTGGGCGATCCCTACCTGTGGATGTGTCACAAAGTAAGGTTTCCATACCTGTTCCCATCTGTTTGATGCGTAGTTCGAGGGTTGTGGACGATAACTCGTGCTGAAGATCAGTGTCTTCTTTTTGAAACTCGACGAGTTTCAGAAGTTCGATTCCTTGGAAACTGTTAAAGGAAGTTATGCGAGACAAGGCGTCTGCAACTACATTGTTTGCTCTAGAGATGTGTT